CCTCGCCACGACGTCTCACTCGGCGGGCGCCAAGCTGTCACTTTCGTTCCTCCAGAGGCGTCTGTGTTCCCGCCGTTGGCGCTGCCGGGAAGGCCTCCCCGCCTGCCTGTGGCCGTGTAGGCTGTGGGGCGCTGAACCGGCTGAGGTGGCTGAAGTGGCTGAGGGGGGAGGTGGCCGAGGTGGCCGCCAGGCCGGGAAGACCTCCTCGCCATCGGACGTTGAGGGAGGCCTTGTAGGCTGAGGGCGCTGAGCCGGCTGAGGGATTAGGTGGCCGCGAAGACCCTCTCGCCTTCGGACGTTAAGGAGGCCATTCAGGCTGAGGACGCTGAGCCGGCTGAGGTGGCCGAGGTGGCCGCCAGGCCGGGAAGACCTTCTCGCACTCGGACGTTGAGGTGCGACTGAGGACGCTGAGGTGGCTGAGGCTGCTGAGGTGGCTGAGGTGGCCGCGAGGCCGCGGAGGCTCTCCTGTCGTTCCACTTCTCCGATAATTGGCAGCGGAGTCGAGCGGGAATAGCTAATTGCGAGGGCGGCGGTCACCTTCGTTACGCCCCGTGAGGGAAGTCTCAGCAGCGAAGGAAGGCTTTCAAAATATGCCGCGGCGTAGCAATATAGTGGTGCGCTCCGCCCCCGCGGCGCCACGCCACACCACGCCGAAGGGACGCACGGGTCGCACGTGGCCTCTGCTGGCGTGGGTTGGGGGGGCTCCAGATGTATGGCAGCGGCACGAGCTGCTGCTAACCTCCAGCCACGCGCGACAGTGTGGTTGGTGGGCACACTCGGCTCACCACTTTCTCGATCTCCTTTCTTGTCGTCGTGAATCACATTTCCCCACAGAGTTAGTTGTCGGTCTTAGTCTCGAGCGCGAGAGCGTCCGTGCCGCCGGCAAGCCTTGGGCCGGGTGTTGCTTCAGGGCACCATAGGGACAGGCGGCTCCCCCTCCCCTCCCCACATATTCCAGCTGCTCAACTTTTACACTCCGACCGGTGTAACCAAACTTTCCCCTCCCCCCTGTTCGTCCGTTCACCGGTCCCTGGCCCGCGGCCCGTCCCGCATGTTTGACAGTGCTGTGAGGGAGCGGGTGGCATCAGCGTATCTTTCTGTCTGACTCACCTGGCTGGAATAACACAATTTAACGGGGATGAAGGTTTCGTCCTGGTGCTCTGCTTTTAGGTTGTGTCGTGCGGCTGGCGGTGGTGAGGAGAGTAGGGGGAGGGGGGCGACCCCGAGAGTAAGTAGGACACATATGTGGCCTATTTTGGCGTTTCAAAACAAATGGACGAGCAGCGACCGTAAAAAAAATATAACAGACGCGCGCCGCCCCAGACCGAGCCCCCTCGCTCTGAAATCAGCCCTCACGACGCGCCCTCCGCACCACGCCCCCCGGCCCACCACGCCACGCAAGGCTGAACCTTATGCCCCCGTTAGGGTCGCAATGTGTCGACGCGCGTGGGCTTTGCGAGTGTGTGTGGGTGTGCGTGGTGTTTCGCATGGGGTGGGGGTGGGGTTTGTGGGTATTTTTGTTTCCTCTCCCCTAATTATTTTCACTTCCCCTCCCCGGGGCGTAACGGCGCACTCCGGCCGGCCGGCCGCCGGGCAGATCGAACCCCCATTGGCCTTTTGGCCTGATGCTCTGGTGCTGCGCCGGCCGAATGGGATGGGATGAGCCAAATGATATGGCACACTGCTGCTGCTTGGTCGCTGTCCACCCCGTCTCCTCCACCCTTCCCCCCACCCCGTCTCACCACGCCCCGCCAGAACGTCCTGCGCGGCCTTAAGCTGTAATTGTAGCAGCGGCAGCAGCAGTAGCCATCGGTGTGCCAGCCTCTGCCATTTGCCGATTGCCTTGTATCCCCGACCCGTCTCCCCCTGATGAGTCTGTCCCCAGCGCCCTCTTCCCC